CTCAAATTAAAGAAGATCTAAATAAATAGAGAAACAATATTTGTGAGTTAGAAGACTCAATATTACTGACAGGTTGATTATCTCTGATTGACTTAAACCTTCAATGCAGTGGAAATCAGTAGATCTTTTTCTTCACATGAACAAATTTTATTTATTTTTATTTTTTAATACAATTCCTAAAGGTCACATTCCACCTACAGTTATTACAAAATATTGGCTATATTCCCCATGTTGTACAATACATCCTTGTAGCCTGTCTTACACCCAACAGTTTGTACCGCCCTCCCCCTCCCCTATAAACCCCTCCCCCACCTCCCCACTGGTAACCACTAGTTTGTTCTCTGTATCTGTGAGTCTGCTTCTTTTTTGTTAAATTCACTAGTTTGTTTTATTTTTTAGATTCCACATATAAGTGATATCACATAGTATTTGTCTTTCTCTGTCTGACATAAGTGAAATAATTAACTTAGCGTAATGCCCTCCAAGTCCATTCATGTTGCTGCAAATGGCAAGATTTCATTCTTTATTATGGCTGAGTAATATTCCATTGTGTATATGTACCACATCTTCTTTATCCGTTCATCTGTTGATGGACACTTAGGGTGCTTCCATGTCTTGGCTATTGTAAATAATGCTGCTATGAACATTGGGGTGCATGTATCTTTTCAAGTTAGTGTTATTGTTTTTTTCAGATATATACCCAGGAGTGGAATTCCTGGGTCATATGGTAGTTGTATTTTTAGTTTTCTGAGAAACTTCCATAATGTTTTCCACAGTGGCTGCAGCAATTTACACTCCCACCAACAGTGTACAAGGGTTCCGTTTCTCAACATCCTTGCCAACATTTGTTATTTGTGTTCTTTTTGATCGTAAGTAGATCTCTGCACTGCAGTGTTCATGCAGTGGTAATGCCCACCTTTTCAATGCCGTCATTCCCTATGGGATTCTTGACTGCATAGCCAAAATCAAGAGTTGTCTGTATACAGTATCCTGGCGGAGGACTAGCCAGGGCTTTTATCTTGCTTTGCCCTATCACCTCTTAGGTAAAACACACCATGGCTATTCAAAACCTTCCTTTTTTGCTTCAATAATACAGGGCCACCTTTCTTAAGAGTATTCAGAGCTTCAGGCAAGTAATTTTTGCAGGGCCCCTGCCTAAATAAACAATTTGATTAAGAAATATATGACAAAATTCAAGGGCCCATGTGAAGTGTAGTGATTTATTAATGAAAATTTAGAATAATGAGTAGAGAAACATACTAATGTATTTGTCTATCGTCCAATCAGTGTATGTGAAGATGCTTTGTAATGTCCAGGTACCACCTCTTTGTATTCTTTATAGTCCGATGCATTATTTCTGGAAAACTTCATATCTCCCTTCATGAGAAAAAAGCAGCAATACTATTATTACTCTCAAAGCTATGACTCTTTGTAACCTGTTTGCACTGAAACAACATAGATTTCTTTGCCTCTGCAGTTCCTTAACACCATTTACTTAATGACTCTGCAACGTTTATCATGTCACCTGTGAATACTGAATTCTAATGACTGTCTCAGAAATCATTACTGTGCTTTGTTAATCATGACCACAATGGCAAGTCTTATCCACAGTATTAAGAAAAATGTGAATGATAATTCTTTTTCTGGTCATTAATTACATTCAGAATTTTATAGAGTAAACATACATCAACGTATTTCCAACTTTTGTCTGTCTTCTCTCAGACTTCTTATGCTATAATCAGTGCTCTCCTAGAATGCGATTTTTATCCATGCTGCCTACACCCCTACCTTTGATACACTCCCACCTGTGGGTAGGAGAGGTGAGAAGCCTGAGGCAAGAGGCAGAAGAGCAGTCTCAGCTGCTCCACAGAATATCCATCCAACTTGTAACCGACTCGTGAGAGCAGGAAGTCACCTCATCAGCTGGAGGCATGAGATCTGTTACAAAGGCCTGGTTGTGTTAGAAAGCAAGGTACGCGGGCCTCTCACTGCTGTGGCCTCTCCCGTTGCGGAGCACAGGCTCCGGACGCGCAGGCTCAGCGGCCATGGCTCACGGGCCCAGCCGCTCCACGGCATGTGGCATCTTCCCGGTCTGGGGCACGAACCCGTGTCCCCTGAATCAGCAGGCGGGACTCTCAACCACTGCGCCACCAGGGAAGCCCCTGTTCCTCCCATTCTATGCTTGAGTACAGTTTTGGGAGTGCCCTTCCAACAATTCTTATTAGGCAATTATCCCTCAAGGATTCTGGCAAGGACGACAGGAACACTATTACTGCTGTATTAATTCAGCAGTCATTTTTGACATCTTGTTTTCTTCTTGAAGAGGAATATCAATCTTCCATCTGTATATTGACTGACCATCTGCAAAACTTTATGTGGTTTGGGTTGCCTGGACTGTTGCCTCGGGCTTCTCCATGTTCTGTGGGAAGCCTCTCTTGTCCTCCTCTCGTGGGCCAGACATTTTGTAATTCTAAAATGCAAATCTATTAACGTCACTTTCGCTTGTCATTTTAATGGTCTTGCATTGCCCTTCATTCCCTCTCCCTGGCCTTCTCCACACTTTCTCTTGCCTATAGGCCTTTACATGTGCTGCTTGTTCCACAGGAAACATTCTGTCACCCCATTATCCTCATTGGCCTGGGGAATTTACACTTGCCTTTGCGTCTCAACATAAATTTTACTTTCTCTTAAAAGCTACCTCATCATCCCCAAACTAGGCTTCTCTATTATTACACAAATCACACTTTAGTCAATGCTTTTTTATTTGTTGTCTATTTTTCACCAGAATGTAAAGTTTGTTAGAATAGGGGCTGCATTTGTCCTGTTTTTCATCACAAATACTCTGCTTAGCACATTTTAATAGAAAATTGTAGATGAATAAATTATATCATGACTTGATCTATCAGTTCTGACTCAATAACTCTTAATATCCTTGTCTGTATCAGGAAGAGCCTCTAGGTCCTGCCCCTTTGAATACAAAACTGACACCATGCTCCTAACCCACTCAATCGATCATGGTACTCCTGCACCAAAGAAAATCAACAAGTCACCTAGCTTATTTCTGGGATCAACAGCACATACACATGGCATAAAGTTCATGGTAAAGCTTAGTTTTATACCTATGCGATGAATTCCGTGTGGCTGACCCCATAACTAAACAATTCTTTGTAATATAAATAAAATTCTACATGTTTTTTTTCATGTTTGCTGTTGAGAACAAAGCAGTCCAGTTAGAGAAATTATGAATGACATTGCTCCACTGGCTCCTGTAAAAACATCTTGGAGTAAAAAAAAAGTCTTTTATTTTCTCTCAGTTTAGCTGCTCTAAAAATCTCTATTATCTATATATCTACTTCTAAATCTATCTATTCTGGAAGATATATATGCAAATATGAGCAAGGTCAAAAGTTCCATAGGAAGTCCCTCCATGTCCTTCTCTGTCACTACCTTTGGGATTCAAGACTATTAAGACTATGGAAGAACACCATTCTGCAGAGATTTCAAAGCAAAAATTTCAGGTAACAGCTGGACTTTGCATTTTATCACAAACAAGAGGAAGAGTACGAATATTTGACCGTCTCAGTATCTTGCTGTCGTTACATTTCAGTCCAAAGGAACACAGAAGAATCAAAGCACAGTCTAACTTAGAGAAAGGAGTTCTCAGTCCCCCTCAGTACTAAAACAATTAAGCAAACTATGATAAAGATGAAATCAAAGTGGTCTCAAAGGAAGGATCAGGTCACAAGGACAGAAAGACACCTGGTCAGAATTCCCGATAGGGTGATGTTAATATTATCAAGAACAACAGTGCCAGAAGGGACAATAATACTGACACAAATACTCTTACAAAGCTGATAGGACAGGTGGCTGGTATAACCACCTGTAAGTTGCATATATGTAATTAAAGGTCAAAAGCGTCCACATCACATCTGCATCGGACACTTAGATGTTTGGTAAGAATTTCCCCCTTGCCTTTGCTCATGATGTTTCCTGAAGAGGTTGCAAACCTGCAGTTGAGGGCAATTCCAGCTAGCAGACACACGTTTTGGGGTTCACACGGTGGGTTTTGTTTTTCAAATCCATATTTCTCTCTTGAGAAGCTAGAGGATATGGAAATACTGATCTCCACATGGCTGGGTGACAATAGTCAGTGGGAACTGACTGGCTCCCTGTCAATGGACCATGTGTTTGCTACAATTGTTTCCATTTCTATTTTCTTATACCAGCCCCTTTATTCATTTGCATCATCTTCTTTCTTCTTTAGGTATAGGAGTTTGCAATCCCAACTCTACAAAGATCATCCTTCCCATCCATCTCTACCTGCTCAAATTCTAGTCATCGTTCATGGTTCATCTCAAATGTCCCCGTTTTTCCCTTTCCCAACAATCAGATGTGAGTTGTCCCTATTTTGAATACTCACAACATTTCTTACACTTCTTTTGTAGCCTATACAGTATCCAGTAATAATATTGTTCTTATCTGTATAGTACTTATCTTGTTTGTGTAAGATCTATAAGCTCATACATTCATTCACCCACCCATTCAGCAAAAATTTATTAAGTACTAGGTGCCACATACTAGGTAAACTGCTGTGGATATTGCAAAGAATAAGAGAAATGGATAAATCAACTATACTCCAATTAAAAAAAAAAGAAATCATAAAAAAAGAGAAATGGAGATAGGCTCTCAAGGAGATGCTGAGATCAGGATCTACCTCGTTCATCTCCGATTCTACTGCAGAGCCTAGGCAAGTGCCTTGTGCTTAAATACTCAATTGGCATTTGTTGAAGTGAATTTTTGTCAACCCTATTAACATAGTTCATGACATTCTATTAAATACAAGTATTAGAGCTATATTTCATAGCACTCTAAAAACCAATTTTGATTAATGTATGCTAATCACTAAACATTTCTTCTTCCATTCCAGTTACTCTAAATCACTAAGGTTTTATCCTGAAATAGTACTCCGAGTACTCAGATGTCTCTCTAAATTTATTTACCTGGGTAACTGCTGAAAGAGAGGCGACTACTCCTGGTGTCTTTATCAATGATGTTGAAGTCCCAGTGTTTATATATCCTGAGCATGGCAGCATACGTGTACCAGCTTGAGTGAGCAAAAAAGATGTTCTCAAATCCAGGAAGAACCTATAGCCAGAATCATAGTGAAGTATACAGATAACTGACTACAAATGTAGGAAGTGTAGAGGGATTATGTCAATTAAGGCGTTTACTGCTGTTTTTGTTACTGCAAAATTAACCTTTAATGTGCACAAGACAGACAGAGTCTGTCCTAGCTTCCAAAATGGAAGATTCTGGATGGTGGGAGTGGCCGGTACATAGAGCATGGGAAAAATGATGGAAGAAACAGGTAACATCACGTACATCCAATTCCCTCCATCAGTTCCTTCCAGTTCTTAACTTCTATGACAGAGGAACCCATGAGCTGATATATAACTATAGCTGGGAGTGATGAGATGTTACCATACTTGGGTGACACATAGAAAAAGTCCATATGGACCAGAAGAAGGACAAAGAGAAAGGCTGTCGCATGTCCCACCTTAATAAGCGCAGAGCAATGTCCCATGTCCCATCTCTTAAAAACCTCCAGGCCGGAGTCTTTTGTGAGAGAAAGTGAGGGAATCAGGTCCAGCAGATCTCCAACAGCATTCAGGAACTGAATCTGGAACAGCGTTATGGGCTGGGAAAAGACAGAGACTGCACTTAACATTGATTTCAGACAATCAGATGTCATTTTCTATTGTGAGGACTCCTGTTGCTAGGTATCCATTACATTATCCCTTTGTGAAGGTTCCCTAATGTAAAGATACACTAGATTTTATTGTAGTTTATAAAATGATTTTTATTACTTTATAGTTTGTGAGACATTTTAGCCTGTTGGCCACAGATTTTGGGAGTGGGTCCTATGAGAGTAAAATAAACAGAGAGCACTCTGCTTGCATTCCTCTATAGCAGGATTTTTCAGTCTTGGCACTAGTGATATTTGGGGCCAAATAAGCCTTTCTTGTTGGGCAGGGGGGCTGGGCATTGTAGGAAGTTTAGCAGCATCCCTGGCCTCTACCCACTAGATATCAGTAGCACCCTCCCAATTTTGACAACCCAAAATGTCTAGGCATTGCAAAACGTCCTCTGGTGAGAAGTCATCCTTAGCTGAGAAGCACTGCTTTACAGCAAAAATATTCAACTAAGGTGCTTTTGATTTTGATCGTATGTTTAACACAGGACTAACAGACTTGACAGCATTACACCTGAAGCCATTATCAGGCTTGAACATGAACTCCGTGTTAACTAAAAAGCACCTGCTCCAGCAAGATGCAAACCACCAGAGTCGCCCAGGGCTAGGCATCTACAAACAAATTGTTTTTCGGGCAGAGGTGGCGAGAAGACAAATACACATGACAATTTTAACAAAAGCAAAAGCAAGGGAAAAAAAAAACACCTGATTCTTTATTTATATAAACATTTCTTTGTTTTGTTTTTGAATAAGTAATCCATTCATTATTCAATATTTTTTTTAATTATAAGATCTATAGTGAAAATTCTCTTCATTCCTATCCTCTGTTCACTCAAGACCCACCCACTCAAGACCCACTACCACTTTTATTGCGTATCTCTAGACCTCAAAAATGTCTTACAAATACATTTGTTAACATAAACGATAGTGTGTTATATGTACTTCTCTTCACCTTGATTTTTTTCTCTTAATATCTTTTCATATCTTGGGGACCTTTCCATATTTGATATAAAAATCTTCCTCGGGGCTTCCCTGGTGGCGCAGTGGTTGAGAGTCTGCCTGCCGATGCAGGGGACACGGGTTCGTGCCCCGGTCCGGGGGGGATCCCACATGCCGTGGAGCGGCTGGGCCCGTGAGCCATGGCTGCTGAGCCTGCGCGTCCGGAGCCTGTGCTCTGCAACAGGAGAGGCCACAACAGTGAGAGGCCCACGTACCGCAAAAAAAAAAAATAAATAAATAAAAATCTTCCTCATTCTTTTAAATAGTATTCCAATGAATGGATGCATTATATTTTTAACCAGTATTTTATTGATAGACTTTCAGGTGGTTTCTAGTCTTTTGCTGATATAAATAATGTAACCATAGTCAGACTTGGACACATCATTTTGTATGTGTGTGAGTCTGTGTGTGGGATAGAGCTCTAGAAATGATTTTGATTTTAATAGATATCTCCAAATTGTCTTCATAGGGCTTATTTCAATTGTACTATTACAGCCTAACAACATATTAAACAATTAGTTTATTTCCAGTTTGATAGTTGAAAAACAGTATCTCATGGTAGTTTATACTGGCATTTCTTCTACTATGAGCACTGCTGAGCCTATGTTTAAAGATCTTTGGATTTATTTTTTGTGAACTATGAATGTGCTTTATCTGTTTGTCTACCAGGTTATTTTTGTTTACCTACTTTTAAGAGTTCTTTAAGTATTAGAGAGATTAGTTCATTGTCTCTGAGATGAACTGCAATATACCTTTCAGTTTGTAATTTACTTTTAAATATTTTGCCTTTATTTTAAAAATTAAGAATGATACCATACATATGAAAGAATAAAGATGTATATGCACAGTTTAAGGAAAAATAATAAACTCCTATTACCCACCTCACAGTTTTTAAAAAATAGATTGTACATAATATATAATAATATATGATAATAGAATATTATTGTCCATTTTATAAAACTTAGACATTTTTCTTTAACAAACATATTGTCTAAAACACTTGCTTTATTAGGTTAATTAAATAGCCAGTACTTTCATATGGGGCTCTTTAACCCACCCCAGAGTATAGCATGAATGAGACTGAAAGAGCACAGAAACAAGCTAGTTTACTTGTGAGTTAACCTGACACTGAGTCAGGTGCTAGCAATGAGACAGATAAGACAGTTCTTCTGTGCAAGCAATTTATTCTCTAGTCCTAATTTGATCTTCTCCTTAATTGGAATGTATCAATAATTTTAAAGATAATTTTCAATCTTCTTGCCATACCATATAAATCCTGAGTGGCTTTTAAAAAACCTTACCTTTGTTCCTTCTACTATAGCCCTCTTCATTGCCCCTACATATAGCCCATCCATTTGTGCCATAACATAGCCTGTGTGTCTCCAAAATGGGTCATCCTTGTAATTTTTTATGTTATCCCGGGCCCACTGGTCTTGCTTCCTGGAAGACAAATTAGATTTGTACTAGAGGTCTCCATGGTTGTTCATCCAAAGCTAAATTAAACCCAGGTATTTAGAGATTATATATTCAGATACTTATGTTAGCTAGTATAATTTAAATTCTGGATCTTACAACATTCCAATCACTTTGAAAGGACATCAGAGCAAATCCTAAATGATTTTTAATTTCTCCCAAGGACTATGACTCTTCCATTATAACCTCCCTCATGCTCTATCTAGAACTATCTAGAAACACAGGTGTAATATTTACTTATCTGTGATACTGAGACCTAAGAAAGTTGACGATAGACTGTTCAAATATATCTTATATAAAATCATGTTTCACTAAATCGGTAAGGACAAGTTGATTAACTTTACTTTGTAGATAGAAGTGATAAACAACAGGATAAAACAAAAGCTCTTAAGGACAGGGTGGTTTGTATTTGTTTGTATTTCTCTCAGATCATTTTCATAGTTTATGCTTTGCCCTATTCCAGTTGTAGCTAATAACAGCCTCAATGCTTCTGTCCTAGGAAAACGTCTTTTTTTTTTTAATAGTCCTTTCATTCTCTCTTCTCTTTTTGTTGTCTGCACTTTATGCAGGATGAGTTGATATAAATTTGTATACTAAAAGCTATTTCTGATGTGTTCAGGCTATCTCTAGGTCAATTTAAAAATACAATGTCACTGCTTCATGGGATCTAGCCCAGATGCTCTGTAGGACCTTAGCATCTGACGAAGGGGTTGCTTAGCATATAATTTGGAGGGCCAAACCAAGAGCTCCTTTATCCCCGAATTAGTCTCATAGTCTGTCATCCCACAAATATAAAACAAAATTTCTGAATATTGAGAATTATTAGTTTTCAGAAAACTTTACTAAAATGGAAGTATTCTCAGAGGATGTTAAGAATTATAACTTTAGATATGAGCTAACTTCCCAGCTAAGATGAGTCACCAGGTCCGTGAAATGGAAACACCTTTCAGAGGGCGAAGGAAGGATTTCTGCAAGGAGAGGAGCCCCCAGGTGGAAGGGATCCGGGGGTTTGACTTTGCCTGTCTTGCATTCAACCTGACCTCTGAAAAAGCACAAATTAGAAGGCATTTGTCCACAACCAGTTTTCATGCCATCACCAAAAGGTGCTATACTTAACTACAAGAACTACTCCAGAGTCCTGCCTAAGAGATGGAAAAGAAATTTGTGAAGGAGAAATTGCTGTTTGAAATGACAGATTCAAGCCCTGAAGCCTCAACAGCAATGAGAAGAGGAAAGCTATTATACTTACGTTAAAAACTCCTGTACTTTATCCACCACGGAACGTTTCTTAATCAGCTGTGGGTAGAGGTTTGTGAAGTGGTCATACATATGTCTGAAAGAAGAGATGAAAATTGTTACATTTCCACTTTTCTTCTTGGATTTTCCCATCACAGTAAACTACCCAGTATTTTGGCTAACTGGGATGTTCCCTATGGCAAACCTTCCCTATCTTCTTTTATAAATCAAATGCACAATTTAAAATGGGGTAATATTGGGACTTCCCTGGTGGTGCAATGGTTAAGAATCCACCTGCCAATGCAGGGAACAAGGGTTCGATCCCTGGTCCAAGAAGATCCCACAGGCCGTGGAGCAAATAAGCCCGTGTGCCACAGCTACTGAGACTGTGCTCTAGAGCTGGGTCTCTGCAATAAGAGAAGCCACCGCAATGAGAAGCCCATGCACCGCAGCAAAGAGTAGCCCCCGCTCGCCACAACTAGAGAAAGCCCGCGCGCAGCAGCGAAGACCCAACACAGCCATAAATAAATAAATAAATTAATTAATTAATTAATTAAAAAATAAAATTGGGAAATATTCACAACATATAGAAAAGAATAGAATATAACAAACACCCAAGTATCCACTACCCAACTATATAAAATCATTATATTTTGCCATATTTGCTTCATATATATATATATATATATATATATTTATATAGAGGAATTTCCAAGTTTTCCTTCATTTAAAACTTAGAGTACCTTAAGCATAAAGTCTTTGTTAAACCCATCTACAAAATTAATCTGGAGTGTACTAATGACTTACTTTATTGTTGATTTTGCTTTTTCTTAGCATTCAATTTCTTTGTGCTTTTTTTATCATTTTTTTTTACATCTTTATTGGAGTATAATTGCTTTACAATGGTGTGTTAATTTCTGCTTTATAACAAAGTATGCTTTATAACAAAGTGAATCAGTTATACATATACATATGTTCCCATATCTCTTCCCTCTTGCGTCTCCCTCCCTCCCACCCTCCCTATCCCACCCCTCCAGGCGGTCACAAAGCACCGAGCTGATCTCCCTGTGCTATGCGACTGCTTCCCACTAGCTATCTACCTCACGTTTGGTAGTGTATATATGTCCTTGCCTCTCTCCTGCTCTGTCACAGCTTACCCTTCCCCCTCCCCATATGCTCAAGTCCATTCTCTAGTAGGTCTGTGTCTTTATTCCTGTCTTACCCCTAGGTTCTTCATGTGTCCATCATCGGATGAATGGATAAAGAAGATGTGGCACATATATACAATGGAATATCACCAGCCATAAAAAGAAAGGAAACTGAGCTATTTGTAATGAGGTGGATAGACCAAGAGTCTGTCATACAGAGTGAAGTAAATCGGAAAGAGAAAGACAAATACCGTATGCTAACACATATATATGGACTTTAAGAAAAAAAATGTCTTTGTGCTTTTTTGAACTTGGTATTCAGGCATTTTAAGTTATGTGTTTGTTTACATTCTTAAATTCTTCCACCCCCACCCCCTTCCTTTCTCCCTCCCTCTTTCTTGCCTCTCATTTTCTTCTAGGTACTTCCATCAGACTCCCTGAGAACCAGGTCTTATAGCGGATTTGGGGGACTTCTTTCCTATGGAATGCTGCACATATATGTGTCCTGGAAACAGCACATGGATGATTTGGTTCTTTTGCCCACCCCGCCTCTCGTCAAGCTCACGGTTTCTTATAAATCTCTACACCAGAGTGCACGTCAGCAGAAGTTATTCTGTGGCCTCCTATTTTCCAAACAGTCCAAAGCAGCAAGGTTCCTTCTGCTTCCCAGCCTTGATTCAGCTCCCTCAGGTCACAGAGGCCTTCACCCACCAGCCGGGGTGGCTGTCTCTGCCTGCTTCATGCCAAGGGCCCAGCAGATCCATACCCCATTGCTTTTCTGCTTCATTTCTGGTTCAAGAGATTTTTAACCTTGTTTGCGGGGCGGGGGCCAGCTATATTACCATGATGTTCTCTTTCTATACATTTTATCTACTATTTGCTCTCAGTTTGGAGCAAAGTGGATCAAATTGTGAGCCCCTTGCATCCTCTGGACTGGAAGTTTACCTAAAGTCTGAGTTCTGGTTTTTATTTGATGCTTTTTATCGACCTAGAGGTCAGCACTGTAAGCAGGTGACTCGGCTTCCAAAAATGCGAATTTGGCCCCCAGCACTGTGGAATTTAGATATCTTTATCTAATAGTTTCCAGAACTGAAACTGATGTGGATAGAGTTTTACTGCCAGTGAGGCAAAGAACATTAAAATCCTGTGAAATCGGGCTTCCCAGGTGGCACAGTGGTTGAGAGTCCGCCTGCCGACGCAGGGGACATGGGTTCGTGCCCCGGTTCGGGAAGATCCCACATGCCGCGGAGCGGCTGGGCCCATGAGCCATGGCCGCTGAGCCTGCGCGTCTGGAGCCTGTGCTCCGCAGCGGGAGAGGCCACGGCAATGAAAGGCCTGTATATCGCAAAAAAAAAAAATCCTTTGAAATCTTTTATTTTATGGTCCTTGAATTCAACAAACTTCATGAGTGCTTTTCCTTCAAATTATCTGTAAATATTTTTTAAAAATTGAATTATCATATTTAACTTTTGTTTATATATCTTTTATGCTGCCACACCTATTCTTCTATCAAGTTGGCCCCTTTTCTATCAACTCTAAAACTGAGGGAGAGAACAGCAATAAAGCTAGACAGGTATGTGGGTGACAGGGAAGGGACCCTCTGCCCTGGCCTCATATTTCAGGTGAATGGACTGCAGAAACTCCAGGTGAGTGGGACGGCTTGATTTAGTTGCTTAGGGAAGCAAAAGCCCGTCAGTTTTCCCTCTGAGGTTGCATGGGGAAGTAGAGATGGCTGCCAGGACTGTCTGGGCTCAGGAGCCCAATGCAGCACCCCTGCACCCCTCCATGAGTTTCAGTGTGCAGCCAAAGGCTTTCTTGTCTGGGCTAGGGTGGAATAAGAGGACATTGGGAGTTGATGGACCTCCTGGGGGCAGAGGACTTATACTTGGGGTGACTACTGCAACCTCGATGGCATTGATTTTGCAACTGGAGACCAGGGAGACCATGGAAGCCTCATCAGATGTCAGGTGGGGAAACACTCCAGCTAAAGACTCAATGAGACTGTTCCACTTCAGTAAATGTGCCAGAGAAGGACACAGGACAACCACTGCTTAAACATCCCCCCTCCCTCCAAGATGGCTCAGTAACACCAATCCATTCTGGAAAAAAGTGTTTGGAAGAGGACTGGAACATTCTGAATTGACTCAGTTTCAATGATATTTTGTCCCTATAGAAATGACTATGGTAACATTTCCTGCCATGAGGAGGAATGGGGTCTTAAAATTAAAATGATTTAAATGGAAATAAAGTTCTCTGTTTTTGGAAAAAATAATTTGTGGGCTATTGACCTACCAATGCGCACTCAGGTAAAGATACAAAAATTCATACTTTCTACCTAAAGTCTCCATCACTGCACCCTGCCCAGCTCCACCCAGAGTTCCAGATCCTCTCAATTTTTCAGTCTATTTCAATATAGGGCTGTGTTTCTCAACCAAAGTGATTTTTCCCTCCAAGGGGCATTTGGCAATGTCTGGAGACATATTTTGTTGTCACAATAGGGGGATGGAAGGTGCAACTGGCATCTAGTGGGTAGAGGCCAGGGATGCCGCTAAACGTCCTACAATGCACAACAAAGGATAATTCAATCCCAAATGTCAAAAGTGCTGAGGTTGAGAAACCCTGAAACAGAGGAACATTCATCCTGACTTGGGGGTGGTTGCTGTGGAGGTCCATATAACGGTAAAGACAGATGTAGATAAAGGAGGGTAAGTAGGCCAGAATTATTAAAATTTTTTCTTTCTTTTTTTTGGGGGGGGAGGGGCTAAACTTTTTGATTCTGATATTCAGAGCTGGGGAAGAGAAACCTGCACCTTGAGATCAGAAGTGGAGGCTTCACCTGATCCTGCCCCACCCAGGGGCCCTGAGGAACATAATCCATTCACAGTCCCCTGAGAAGGTTGAGGCCCTTCTCTGATCTTTGAGCCTGGGGCCCTATACTTTTGTGTGCTGGAGCAACACAGGACAGCAGATAAGAGCAGAGGCTTTGAATTCTGAACTCAAAGCTTGATCCACTCCTTGTAGGCTCTACAACCATAAGCAGGATTCCCAACTTCACCATGCTTCCGAATTCTCATCAAACAGAGCCAAGACCGGTCTCCATGTCAAGGATGTGTTAGATTTCGTTTCAGCTCCCGTGGTGTGTAAAGTCAGTAAGTTTCCTCCTAAGTTGGCCGAGACTTTGCCCATCTTTCCATCTCTCACACACGCTTTGTGACAATCACAAAGACATATGGACACCTACTTTTCCCTGCGCCTTTTTGCATTATGTTAATACCATATCACTTAGTGCTTGTCAGGTGATCTCTCCTACTCTTTCTTAGTTGTTTCAACTTCCTACTTCCTGAGTCTGACACCATATCAGGCTCCTTTAGTATTTCCCATTGTGGTTAATCCACTTGTGTGTGTATGTGTGTGCATGTGCACGGACTCCATAGCTGGACAGCTGGTTTCTAATTCTGGCTGCTGCTTACCAGCTTTGTGACTTTCAGCTACTTATTTTATTTCTCTGTGCCCAAGTTTTCTCATCAGTAACATGGGGATAGTAATAATATATACCTCACAGCGTGGCTGTGGATTAAATAATTTAACATACATAAAATGTTTTGAACAATGCCCAGCATATTTTATATTTTATATATATATATATATATATATATGTGTGTGTGTATATATATATATATAAATATAAGTGCTAGTCATCATCATCATCATCATCATCATCACTATTTTGTGGTTCATGTTAAGTCCCAAATAATTACCAATTAATGGGTCATTCGATAATTTTGAGGGTGTGACTGTGTCTTACTTATCTTTGCTTTGGCTACAGCCTTGACCTGGAGCCATATTCAGTTTCTAATATCAGAAGGAGCAAGTTGGGGGGTACGGAGGAGATTCTTGAAGTATCTCCTGATGGTAAGACAAATGCCCAAAACAGTTCCGCCTTTGATGAGTCTCTCTACTTGTGCCATAATCTTGCTAGAACCTCTTTTCATCATAGTTTTACCA